AAAGCAAGCAAGCAAAAACCAGCAAGCAAGCAAAAGCAAGCCAGCCAGCCCTAGCCTCTTCTAGACAACAGACCATGGCAGTAGGTGAGCCAGCTGATAACAGGATAAAACAAACCTTCATTTTCAGAGTCAGTTCTTAAAGCACAGAACACAATATCAAACATAAGCAGAACACACAATTGGGGATACCAGCATCATAAGGTCACACCATGACAGGTGTCTTCTGGATTGTCTCAGGAAAGGGCCCATCTCTGCACAAAGACATGGTTTTTCATTTGTAAATTAGGTCTTTCTCCCTGCTGCCATCTATGGTTTTGCAATCTTTTCCCATCTGGGGCTTGTGGTTTTTGTTTGGTTTTTTTTGTTTTTTTAACTTTAAAAGTTTTTCATACAAGCACAACTTATTTCATGTATATTTTACATAAGCATGAATTATTCCATAACATATATTACAATTGTTTTGTAAACATGATCAATATCAAGACCAATAACTACAACAATTACAATATAGTAAGGGTACAATATAATTAGTTTCAAAGGCCTTGTGGATAGCATTGCTGTCAGCAACTTGCCATATTTTGTTAAGTTGTTTTTGGAGATCTTTTATGTTTGGGAGGTGTACACAACACAGTGTTCTCTATCCAGTTTTAAATATCCACAAAGCCCTTGTTCTTTGGCCAGCAATAAATGTAAGACCAGTCTGTTTTGTAATGTCAGTTCAATGTTTGCTTATTTATAATGTGAAATCCCCTTTCATTAGTTTCAGATTGTTAGATAATCTAAATTGGCAAGTAAAAAAATGAAGTTCTGTTTTTAGAGCCGTGGCTCCTGGTAAGAGAAAACACTGTAGGGCCTATTTAAACATTTTGGAAGCTGAAGGTCCTGTCCATTCATGTGTCTTGCTGTACCCTACCCCAATTCTGGGCTTTCCTGGGGCTTCTTTTCCAAGATGGGCATAAGGTTAATAATCCTAAGGTAACTTGTCAGGTGCTGGGGCCAAACAGTAGTTGGATAGACCAATATCCATCTAGGGTAACACAAACAGTGTAACTTGGGGAAGGAACTTCCAGGGACTTGACACAATTTAAGGGTTGGCTTCTAAAGTTTAGAAATATTTTGGCTATCCAGCTTGTGGTGCTGGACTGAATTTCATCGTTTTGTTTTTCTCTTTACCTCTATTGACCCTTGCTTGGGTGATTAATAGGTGTGTTCCCCAATCTAGGCACCATCCTGCCTCCCTTAAGTGCTCCCATTGTCCTTTTAAGGGCTTTGTCCAGGTGTGAAGCTTGCTTCAGAGAGTTTGACACTCTGGCAAGTCTGAGATATTTTGGGATGTTCACAATCTAACATAAATCTATCAATCTGGCTGCTTGGTCTCCAGAGGCTGCTAAAGCAAATTCTAAAAGATGTTGGGTGAGACTATGGGACCCTGTTGGACACTTCTTACCCTTTTGTCCTATTATCCTCCAAGCTATCAGATCTTTAAGAATACCATCTTTTTGTCACCTGCATCTTTGCTTCTCATCCAGATAGTGGGAGACTGTTTGCCTTTGCTATCACCTTAGGCAGAGTATTATATTTAATCACCATTGACAGATCCATAAGGATAATTCCCCAAGGAATGTGTTCCCCTGCTGAATGGGGCATAGGGAGGCAGGCTCTAATGTTGGACAGATTGCACATTTTACCAAACCCTTGGATTAAAATCAGTATTATATTTTCTTCCATGCTCCCACCTAAAGATAAAGGTATTTAGTCTATACATTTCACTGTTCATTTACAGATGTCTTTAAGATTTTCAGCTGCAGGGATGTGGTGTTTTCCACTGCCCACTCTGAGTCAGGAGCCCTCTTAATTCAGGTTCAATATACCCAGGAGTTAATTCCTTTGACTTTGACTGTTTTGTTCCTTAATTCCTTTCCTTTCACTTTCACTGACAAGCTGTTCTTGCAGTCCACAGAACTAGATAAGGTCCTTTCCATGCTCCTGAAGTGGCTCCAGTTTCCAGATCTTGATGTATACGTGATCCCCAGACTGAAAAGAATGAACTGGGGTGTCAAGGAATGATAAGGGAATGATAAACTTTTTTAGCCCATTCAAGGATTCCCTTAATGAAATTAATTATTGTACCATTTCCTGATTTGCATTCTGTTCCTTGGACCCAGGAATGTTGCAACAGAGTATAGTCTCCCAGATTTCAACTCATATGGGCTCACCTTCAGGTTAGTTTGGGGCTGTACTCTAATTTGTTACAAGTCTAGTGTTAACACCTGTGACCATTTCAAGAAAGTTTCCTGACGTATTTTGATAATTTGTCTTTTTAGGATTTGATTTATTTGCTCAACCCTTCCACTAGACTGTGGTCTCCATGGAATGTGTAAATCCCAGTTATACCCAACTGCCTACTAAGTTGCTGTTACACTTCAGATATAAAATGAGGTTCCCTATCAGATGGCATCCCTGTAGGCGTTCCAAACCTGGATATAACCTCTTTGTGGAGTACCTTGGTGACTTCCCTGGCCATGTTGGTGCAGCAGGA